TAAATAGGGGTGCAATATAACTGATGTTTAGCAGCTATATAATACCATGTTAACTATCTTTGTTTAGTCTATTAGCATGCTAATATCTGCTAATTAGCATTAAACACAAAGTCAGCTGAGGGATGATGATGACCATGCCAGGATGATGGGGAAAAACCCAGAAGCACTAATCACAAAATTTATTACAATAAATCTGGAAGGAAATGTCAATCTCTGAACCAAATTTCAAGGCAATTCCTCCAATAGTTGTCGAGACATTTCACTCAAACCACATATGTCAACTTGCTGGAGGTGCTAAGAAAAGTCAGGGAATCACCACAGTCATTAGGATTCATTCATTGCACGTAATGATGTGTCAATCCACCAGCTAGTTCTTGAGCCAATTTACTGGATATGTGTAAAGCAGGGTTGGGTGTGATACTTTAAAAATATAATCCAATACATTTAGTTTTTTAGTCTATAATCACCTGAAAATAATTGTTGTGTTAAAGGCCTCTTAATCTTACACACTGCTTATTCATTGTAGAGAAGCATCAGACATATGAGCATAGTTGTGCAAATGTGTTGTGCACTCTGTAGTGAACAACATCTTGTAATGTCATGAATATGTATGTGACTGCAGGGGTGTGTACAGTTTTGCAAACACTGGCTTGTAAATGTAGGAAAAGTGGGACATGTTTTGACATCAGATGCTCAGAAATGTAGATGTGGGGCCTGAGAGAAAATCTCTGACGGGAGTGTTTTGATTGGAGTTATTAGAGTTACTGCCCAAAGCTGAGGAACATTTTGCTGATACCACCAAAAGGACCACTTCCCCTTGTCAGCTCAACTCTGACCTCTATTCATCAGTAGCTTTGGCCTTGACCTCTGGATTGGACTTTATTCAGGAAGTCTCTGTGAGGCAGATTTCCAATTAACCAGCCATCTTTTTTTAAATTAATCTTTTTTTAAGCAAGGGGTACTGAGCACATCCCCAATAAATACTTGTCTCTGTGAGGCAGTTTTCCAATTAACCAGCCTAAACCGAGGCCCCACACAGCAGTATGTAAATATTATATAACCAAATTCTCTAAATGCTCCCCCTTGTGCGCAAACAGCTAAACATGACTGTAACCAGAGGGTAATCTCACTCTCGAACATCTAGGCTCCAGTCACTGGCTGTGAATGGATATTGATTATTAAAGTGTTGGAGCCCCATCTCACACTGCTGATTAGGACTTCCATGATTACAGACATATTCTCTTTGCATGTAGTGAAACCTGCAGCCAAAGCTAATAAATCCACTTAATAGACCTGCCAGTTGAGTGCATTGATTGCTTTTCTGCAAGGGGCTGGAAATGAGGGAAACTGATACTGTTTAACAACAAACTAAAGAAAGTTTCATATAAAAGAATACAGGTTTTTGAGATTGTCTCAATATCCGGGCTGATGTCAGGAATGCTGAACGTGAAAATGATCCATGTGTTCCCTTATATCCATGCTAACACTGCAAACAATAAATAGCAGTATTTAAAGTATTACTTTTACTACTGTTATAATAGTCTTATTATACGTTCTAGAGATCTATAAATATGCATTAATGTAGCTGAGGAATTTCAGTTTATTACAGGCAAACAGTTGTGTTATAATCTGTTGTACAGTTCATGGAGTTGGGTGTAAATTCAGGGAGGGCACTGAAACCAACCTAATGGAGACACTACATTTTCTCATCACTCACTGAATAAGCTGACCACTGGAATCATAAAAACATGCTGTATTCCTGACTCAACCTCTCCTCTGTCTCTGTCTCTTAGAGAGTGGAACGGTCAACATCATGGAAGGGAATGTGACAGTGATGCAGGACGAGCAGGTGGAGTTCCGGTGTGTAACATCTGCTTGGTTCCCCATCCCCACAGTCAGCTGGAACCAGAATGGTCAAGCTGTGAACAGCAGCCTGTACAACACAACCAGCATGGCTGATGGGGATTCCTTCAACTCCACCAGTGTCCTGAATTTCCAGGCAATCAGAAACACCACAGTGGAGTGTCGGGCGACTGTGCCCACGCTAACAAACCCGCAATCCAGCTCTGTCTTATTGGTGGTTGGTAAGAAGATCACACCTTTTTTATCTCAATGTGTCCGGCACAAACCCTCCTCCCAGCCTCTCTTCCCTGTACACTTTCAAGTTTGGAAAATACCACTGATTTGTTGCTTAGTTAGTTGCCCATTAAACGCACTAAGTGTAGGATATGAAAGTGTTGTTCTTTGGTTGCCCCAGTCTACTGCTATGCTACGGGGGTGCTAACGTCAACATGCTAACATTCTTACATGCTCACAAAGACAATCGTTACATGTGTATGTTTAGCAGGTTAAGTCTTAAAGCAAACAATCAAATTTTATACGTAATGGCTTTAACAAACAATTAAATATTACTTTCTCAATACTAAAAAAGGGGTGACATTTTACTGCTTTGATGTAATTTCTTTTATACCTCTCTATGGCATCACTGTACATTCTGTCTTGGAAATGTCTGAGAATCCACAAATAGACCCCTCGACATTAACGTATGACTCGTGTAACTGAAGAATAATTGGATAAAATCAGCTTTTAATTAAATAAAAAACCCATTTAACACATACTGTATAGAAATTACATTAACAGCAGCAACCCTGTGAGTGTCTGGTTTCAACCGGGATGTGCACACATAACATAGTCAACATGGGAGTGAAAGAGTCCTGCAGCAAAGAAAGCCAATTTTGATGTGTAAGAGAAATATATTTTATTTGGACACAGTCTGGATGAGCATGGTATGTTAATGATAAAGGGTTATGGTGAATGAGACAAGGCTTTGTTTAAGCAGCACTGTTTCTGCAACTACAAACCACAGTATGGCTCATATGTTAAATTAGTTTTTTTTCTCATTTAGCATTCTCTATTCAGGCTGTAATGATGCTATAATGATCCTTCTCCATAAATTTCACATCTAAACAAAAGGTGTCAGAGAAAATAGAAATGTATGTACTACACATTTTAGTGCTTCCAGTCTTTTCACTGTACAGTGTGTTCTAATAACATAACTGAAGTGAATATTGTGCTTCTGTCGTTGTATTGTTTGTGTTAGGTATATCTAGCTGACAGTTCATTTTACAATAAGAAGCTCTTTTGAGTTCCCCATTCTTAATTCTGGTCTTTCCTGTAATAGTTCCCAAGCCTCCTGACTGGACTGTGCTGATAGCTGTGGTTGTGTCTTTTACAAGTTTTGCTCTGCTGGTTTTGCTAATCATCGGAATCATCTTCTGCTACAAACGCAGGAAAGAAAAACGTAAGCCCCTCATTATAGCAGTCTAACACAATTTACACCTCTTAAAGATTAATTTATAGTTCATTCTGGCTCTATTTACAAGTACTAAAAGCAAACCACTTACATAGGCCTCATTAAAGTAGTTACAAGGAACTATTTTTGTTGATTCTGGACAAACGCTGTTGTGTTTCTATCATCTCATTTTAGCTGAATTTGATGGAAATCCAACTGAATCAGATCCAGTGGCAGGCAAGAATAAATATATAGAAATAGTCAATCTTCTCACGAATGGTCTTGTGTATTTATGTAGGTCATATAGAAGCATCAGTATTAAATTGAGACTGATTGATAACCACCTAAAAACTCCTTATAGTACATAAACTAATTTGTTATCTCACAATCCCCTCCAGAACGCAACTACCAAGATGAAATGAGGTAAGAAATTAGGAATATTTTATTACTACGTCTTCATTCTTCCTCTACAACAGCATTTTCTTCCACATGTTTCTACACACAGTAAAATTCTCTGTTGTTATTTATGTTTGTGTGTAGCAGGAGAGTGAGGACACAGAGCCAGATAAGTGGTGTCAGTGCAGCTGGACAGAGACAGGGTCAAGTGAACACAGGATATGTACCAGACGGTCAAACAAGTAAGACTGATAAGGGCTCGTACACAAACACTCACAAGCTTTAAATTAAAATATTTTACGAAATTCTATCCCTGCTGTACCTAGCCAGTATCTACCTGTGACTCTTCTTTCTGTCCACAGGTGTCACTGACAGTGGCTTTTCCCAGATAAATGGCTCCAATACGTTTGAGGTAGGATTATGATGTTCAGTAAAATGTTAGCATGCAGTGGTGTGCTTGGACACTTTTAGGTCATGGGAGTGAGATTAAAAAGGCACCTCTGTTACAGAGATAATGTGTTTTTTGGACATGATATTTTAGGGAAGATAACAAAGAGCAAAGATGTGTCACAACGGTCTTCTTCCGTGCCTTTTTGGCTTAGGGACTGTAACACCACACATTTATATTTGAGTACTTTTCATTTATGGAAAAAACTTGATACATCGGGCCCCCGCCCTGTGTTTTAAACAGTGACATGTAAGACTTTTCTTGCATATTTAGTTGACCCAAAATGGGCCAGCAGTATTTGAACATTGTCACTTAACTGCTGCTTGACTTCAAGGAGTAAGAATCATTGTGAAATGAACTTAGTGACAGAAGAGGTGCAGGATTCACAATCAAAATAATGAGGCAACTAGGTAATTAGGTATGCATTTAGACACAAGTATTCCATTATTCTTTAGGGTTAGCTAACCCTAACTTACTTCCTTATTGCCTTCGCCATCCTAAATTAATCTTGTGGAGCACTACTGAATGATGTGCAACAGTGGGTATACCCAGTGCTGACTGAAGAATAACTGCCTGTAGAGCAACATGGCTAAAAATCTTTTGATGTGTCATTTGAAAAGAGCACACAAAAAGCACTGTAGAACACACTTGTAAACCTCAGTCACTGTTTACATTTAAGTCATAACATATACACAATAATGGAGAACCTGCACTGTCCCACAGTGCACCAATTCTGTCATACCCTATACACAATCATCAGTAAATAGAGTTTTGAAACACACAGTTGGCATACAGTACACCAAAACACACAAGTATAAATAAAAAAGTTATCATTCCTCTAGCTCACACTGTCTACATGTGTCTAGAGTACATGAGAGGTTGTGATTTATATACAGTAGATCACTGTGCATGGCTCTTACAAATGAAATGAAGAAATTACTACTCGTGAATTTATTATCTTCATAAAGATGCTAATCATGTGTCATTTATCAGCCTTAGCACACGTGGATAATTCATTGCTTGATCATTCAACTAATTAAAGTAATGAATGAGGTGCCTCTTAAACAAATATATTATTCAAGTCCACAATTACTGCCTCGTAATTCCAAGATGATTGCCTTTTCAGTGGGGCAATATAGTCAGAGTTTGTGTTATTTTGATTTGAAAAAGCACAGAGGGAAAGGCTGGAAAATGAGTCTACATTGTTGTAACATTAATATATTTATTTTACATAGCGCTTTAAAAAAACACACTTTTCATGGCAACAAAAAGTCAATAACAAAAACAGCAAAGGCAATATCAGTATATAATCAACTACTACAGCAAATATAAAGAGCAAATCTTTGAGAAGCAATTTAGATGCATTATTAATGTCACATTTGTTTTGCTTTTAATTTTTTAGATGCCTAATGCTGTGAACAGTAACCACGCAGGAAATGCCTACATCACTGTGGATGAATCAGGAGTCAGGAAACACAGACATGTCACTATTGTGTAAGGACAGACAGAGAACCAAGACATCTGCAACTGTTTGAGTTTTGGGACAAACTTGAACAGTACCTTGAATCTTACTGTGGTTTCTAAAGACTGGAGAAATATAGGCAGGAGGACTGAATCTGCTGGGAACAAAGGCCGATGTACTGCAGGGATGTCGAGGCTGTTGGCAGATGAAACATATATACGGGGCGTGTATGTGGTTCACTGCCTATATAAAGCTGGATCAGCAGCTGTTAACAATTTGTGTTATTTCTGAATGTGTGTTTTCAGTGCTACAGTAAAGACTTAGTGGTATACATATATACTGGAGCAGTAACTGAGGCTTAACCGGCACAAACTCTCACATGCTAGACTAACAGCACAGAGGCTATATTTTTATTGAATGACTTTATCTAGAGCTATATATTTTTATTGAGGCATGATATAATTTTAATTTAATATTCAAAAGGGACCATCTTAAAGTTGTGCTCTGTAAATGTATTTAATCCTCCTTAAATGATGTCTGTCTGTTGTCACCTCCACTCAAAAATATGTTAGTTCTTTTTCCTACAGTATGATGTATGTGCATGTGTATTTTGACACTAGAAGGATGTTTTCACATCCATCTGATGAAATATCCAATAGTCCAATATGCAACTTATTAACTGCAGTGTGACATAGCAACTCGAAGCCACCAGTGCACATCCACTGAGAAAGAACTTTACAGTGAAGTAGGAGACATCTTGTGTCCAGCAGTGTCTTGGATGTTTTTCTTTTCAGATTTTCCTCTAATCTTGAATGCTTTTCCCTGAATTACTTTATTCTTTAAAACTCTAAAATATTCAAATAACATAAAACACTGGTCAGAACTAGAAGATTTATGCAGCCAGTAATGCAGGGTCAGATAAAGACACTGCTTCAGTTTAGGGGGTCACAAGCCAAAAGGTTGGGAATCACTAAATTAGCACACTCCAGCATATCTACTATGGAATTGCATTCCAATGCACCTCAGTAGTTCAGATTCAGTCTGACCACTCAGCATGGTTTTTGCGCCGCTGAGGCAGCTGAACTCAGATGACCTTTACTTGGCAAGGAAACAAATTAAACCGGACTTGTTGGCCAAGATGCACCAGTAGGGAGTAAACTCCCCCTAGTTTAGCTTTTTAGGATCAGATTCAAGCCAGGGTTGGCATTTCTTACTGTGGATCAATTAGGTGATAACATGATGTTCACTGTGCTGTGGCAGAGTTCCACAGTATCAGACCCAGCTAATTAAGGGTTTAATTTAATTCATGATTGGATTTAATGTGACCTTTTTCTAAATAGTCACTGCAAGTCTGAGTGGAGATTTGGAGGGTCTGCCTCTGGGTTATATGTTTGTGAATGAATGCTTCAGCATACACAAGTTGTAGAAGCCATGGGGCTTCTGTTTGACCAGTCAGCAGATTCATGAGTTTCCTCAGTTCCCGGAAAAGATCATGCAGCAAAAAGGTTCAATCATTCTGACTGTCCTTTTGCCCAAGGCTCACCAAGAGACATGAACACTGAAGGTTCCCAGTGAAACAAGAATCAGTTTAATTGTATTATAATTGTATTCATCAGAAGTTATACAATTAGAAGAATGACTAACCAACAAAAAATCATCAGCTTGGTGAACAAAATTCTTTTAAGGCCAATATAGATTATTATAGTATGTTGATGTGGCTAACTTGTTAGCAAACACATGTTTAGTTATAAAGATACAGAGCAACTATAAAATGGACTATATTTGGAATTTTGGATATATTTGGACTTTGTTTCTGGCCACCTGGTTAATGTAAGTCCAATATTCTCTACCTACAACTTGAAGGTGACAAATGCTCAACACTGATCAACAGGTGATGGTGAAGCCAAACATGTTGTGGGCTGGAATACCACAATATGAACTGATATACATGCTGAAATGCTTCATGGAGCTGAGAGGAGGTCAAAATAAATGTACACCCATTTCCATATATGTACACATTTTATCTATTGATGTTATAAAAAAGACTGACTGATATATGGACTGGCCCTTATTATCGGCCGATATTGGCCTATTGTAGACATATCGGTATTGATATATGTTATCTGATATGCACAGATATAAAACATTTTTTTAAACTGGTATATAATTAAAAAAATAAAAATACAAATGCTTGCAGTATCATTGGTGTCACTGCAAGTTTATCCAGCAGAGTGCGCTGTGATTTACAGTACTGTGGCAAGCAGCACCGAGTAAGAGAGAAGAGGCAGCTCTCAGTCAACTAGAATTGGTTGACAATGTATATGTTAAATTATTATTATTATTATTATTAACATCTTAAAGAATATTTAACTTAAATATAATATTAGGATTATTTAATAACGTAATTTGTTAAAGAAAGCAGCTGTCTGAGTACATATCAGTGCACAATCCAAATAGAAAAGTAGTTTATTTTCATTCCAGCTAACAAGTTCACTATATCGGCTGTCATATTGGTAATTGAGGAATTTTTACCGGTGATCGTATCAGTCTCAAAAATCCCATATTGATCAGGCTCTAGCAGCTTTAAAATACAGCATGATCTACAATATATACTTTACAGAGCCAGCTGCTACTAAAGCAACCCAGACTTGAATAAGTGGCAGAAAATACAGGGACTTATCGCCATACAGTGTGCAGTTCTGCACACATGTCCACTGTAAGCATACCGTCATTCAGCTTTGTGTCTCCGTGTCTGGACCAACGATGGGAGTGATGCACAATAGAGCGCCACTGTGTCAGCCTGACATGCTGACAGAGTGTCTTGATGGGTAGTGAGCCTGCAGTAAGAACCCTTCATGTCTGGGAAACCCAACACTTAATGCGATTACCTGCTCTGTTTGTTTCCATATTGGAAATCACATTAGTGCCAGTAATGTTCGCTTCCATTTAGGTTCTTTTACAGTACATGGGATAAATTGCATAAATATGAAAGAAAATCCTCTTTTTATTTCCTTTTCTAAGAGACTAACATTGTTCAATATTATTTTAGTTAGCTGTTCAGGTTTGCTGTGAAGTAGCCATAACTTATTTTGACTTCTCAGTATTGCAATTTACAGCATTGGTGCTCCTAAATATAGATATACTTACTTAAGCAGCAGGCTGGCAGTAGCTGAAAGAGTTAATGAATAGAACTAATAAAATTAATGAATAGAGCTGTGGTAATGACTATTGATAAGCCATATATAGTGTGGCTTGTCAAGACATGCTGGCTTTCAGGGCCCTTCCCTAAGCAGTTTTACCATTACATAAGGAATGTCTGGCAAATTAATCTCCCAAAGCAGACTTCAATCATCAAATTGGCTCTGTGCAGGGAGCTGGGATGGCACACATGCCTCCTGCTGGCATAAGCCACAGGCTGGCAGAACATAATGGAAAGTAAAGTGCTGTATATTGACCAGACAGGCTTGAATTGTGAAACATTGGCAGCTGCTGATGATTTTCTGTAAGTAAAAGCTGCAATATAGCACCTTCATAATCAGCTTTAAACTTTGGGCAAGACTTATTTTCTTCCTTCATGCATGTTTAATGATTGATAGTCTTTATTTTGAAATTTTAACAAAGTTTCAAATGTTTTATCATTATATTATTATATGTAGAACTAAATAGGGTTTTATTTTGTAGTATTTGTCATTCTGTGCTGCAGTGATTTTAAGGAAATGGCAATTTGCAACACAACCAAGGTTGTTGATTAGAAGTTGTTGTGGATAGATTTCAACTTTCTTAGCTGCTCAAGGATTTGTCTCAGGGGGTATTGATTGGATGTTGCATTGGTGACATGTTAACAATAACCATAGTTTGATATATAATCAGGAGTGTGTGTGTGTGTGCGCACGTGTGTGTGTTCTTTTGTTTCCAGGTGGAAGTTACTGCATCATGCTGTGAGGTTGTGCTGACTTATCATTTTAGCAATGCAAATGGGACTGATTTAGACCTTACCTCATACAGTATGATGCACTAATCAAAACTGTCATAAGAACTGTTGAAAGATGCGTCTTCAGAGAAACAGTACCAAAAATAGCAGGCCTATTAGCAGCTATTATCTATAAATGCCTCAGCAACATTGTGAGAGCCAGAGTGAAGCTGGGTGACCGTCAGACTGAGGCAGAGACAGGGAGAGACTTGTCATGCATCTAGTAATGGATAACCCTGCAACTTAGCTTGCAAAGAGAGAACACAGAGTGCTTGCTTTGTCAGATCGTCAATATGTCTTCAGGAGATGGAGGCAGAGTAGGTTTAGAGTTTAGAAAGAGTTTGCAGATTTGATCCCTGTAAAAGCCAATATGTTCATCAACTTCTGGGCTGTGGCTACACTCCAACTCAATACACATTGTAGCACTCCCAAAATAAGAACACATTTCCCATAAAACCTGCTGCAGATTAGAAGAGGTTATGAAGAAAATTGTTTGAATCTATTTTCAAGAAGGTGCCCAATCATATAGTAACTGTGATGATGATTGAACTTGAGTCTTCAGTGCCAAGGATGTGCACAACGTCAGACTAAAGTTGCCTGACCAACAGCCCATTTGCTACTTTATCCCATAATTGCTCAAGTTAGACCAAATTAAAATCTGCACATCATCCAAACTTATTGGAGCTGTAAAAAACAAACAAACATAAAAGTGACGCAAAGCAATGCACTATGCTCCCTGTCATGTCACAGTGTAGAATCCAAACTGTAGCTGTTGTGTGGCTCTGGGTCAGTAAAGCTGTGGAAATGATCAACAACAAATGGTATAACCAATGGGATGCCCTGTGAATAAAAATCTCCACATATGCAATGCAAAAAAGAAATCTCAACGTAAAAAAGCCTGGTTTCTGGGAAATGAGTCTTCTCTTCTCAGTTTAAGAGAAATTTGTCTTTTTGTTTAGTTTTTCTGGGGTCATTTCATAGCATTCGTGCTAAATATAAGAATGCATCTGGTGTCTTAATATAAGACGAAGTTACTTATTTGTCTTATGCTGTTTAAATAAATGATGTCTTATTGCTAACAATTTTTATAAATTATTAATCTGAGATTAAGGTACACATTCTAAATTCAGCTCAATAAAGTGACCAAAATACTACAATAAACTCTATCTTGAATAATTTTGCTTGTAATAAGAAAAACTTGCTTAAATTGTTTGTAATGGACTTAAAACTAGAAAAAATGCTCTCTTTCAGTTCAAGAAATTTAGCCAAGCAAGAAAATCTGATTATATTTAAGAGTATTTGAAGAAGGGCTGTTTTTGCAGTGTGCTTTCAAACAATGCACAGGTTGTCAATGTAGTTGCCTATCTACCCTGACTCATTACAGTAGATCACTATCAGCTTTACACTGCCCACTTGTTTACATCATTGTTTGGAATTCCTCTCTATCGCAGCTCTTTTAATGCTCCGCTCCGATCAATGAGCTGCAAATGAAATTAAGGTAGTCCTGTGATTGCCTGTGATTCTTGCCAGCAGCAATAATGACTCAGTGTGCACACAGACCTGTATATATGTGTTTACCATTACTGTGTTCCCAATGCAGCAAAAATAAATATCAACCTGGTCCCAATCTCTACGGAAGTCAAGAATGGCATGCTTGCAATAATTTTTTTTTCTCCACGCTATTATCGAGACAACGAGTTAATTTATCTAACTATCAACAAAAAAAAGGCATATTTCAAGTTGACAAGCTAATTTATCAAGAGAAAATGACTTGTGTTCTCAAGATAACAAGATGATCATGGAGAACTTGAAAATGATCATGATTAAAATTACCATTAGTGGCTGGGAGGATTCATAACTCAGCTGAAAATAATGTACATCTGAGAGTTAATTTAAGATATGAATTTCCCGGCAATATGATGCAGCGTGACAAAATAT